GGTAGAAGTTTCTCTATTGTTTCTATATATTACAGCTGGTGAATATGCTGGTAGAAGTTTCTCTATTGTTTCTATATATTACAGCTGATGCTTCTTCTGAAGATGAAAGTTCTGATGATGAGCCACTGGTAAAAAAAGCAAAGAAGCCACCAACAGTAAGTTACTGATTTGTTCCTGCTACTTTTCATAATTGGTGGTCATGGTTTCATTCAGATTTGGTGTTCTATTTTTAAAAGTAGTAATAACTTTCTTTGGATGTTTAACATAAAAATGCTTCTATTCAACAGATCAGGCAGGGGTTAATGTGGCATCAAATTAAACAGTTAGGTATCTTGTCGCATGTTAAAAAAGGAACTGTAATGGGCACATAGAGGACAAGCACATAGTATTATATATGTTTTTGTTGTTGTCAGGGGCTAAGAATGCAAGCACATAGCTAGATGTTTTTTTTTCAGGGTTTAAGAATACAAGCACATAGCTAGATGTTTTTTTTATTTTGTTTTTTTTCAGGGGTTAAGAATACAAGCACATAGCTGGGTGTGTGTGGGTGTTTTTTTTTAGGGGCTAAGAATGCAAGACATAGCTAGATGTGTTTGGGGGGGGGGTTCAGGGGCTAAAAGTGGGGAACCAGAAATATCTTGAACCATTTTTTCAGGGAAAAAAGTAACACAACTTTATATTTGTGGGTATCTTTTCTTTGTATAGGAACAGTTTGCTAATAGGTCTGGGAAACTTGGGAAGAATTTAAAAAATGATGATGCAGTTAAATGTCCTAGAAAACTAAAATATTCTGATCAAAATATTTTCATCTGCAGATTTTATAATAAATAAAACATTTCTATATTAGTCCAGTTTTAAATCTTGTGTATCATAATTCAACATCAACTATATTTTACCACATTGTTATAGCTACTTTTTCAACTATATATTTACTGCCTGTGTTGCAGTGATATATAACACATTGAGAGTTGACCAACAGAGCTTGTTTTTCATGTGTGTTCAACACTGTTGGACATCTCTATCAACAGTGTTGGATATATACTGATTGAACATGTGCTTACTGTTATGTTATTAAATTTGCTGCAATACATGCAGTACAGTTATTATCTTAACCATGATGTCGAGGTAGTTATCAGCTTTGAAATGATGTAACTGCATTTCATGAATCAAAAGGCTTTTTGTGTGTGGAAACTTTTGGACTCTCCAGGTAAGCAGTAATCTTAGATAACCAAGATAAATTGTTGGCTGTGGGAAAACAGATTAGTTTTGTCATTCATTTCATCAGTTGTTATTTTGTGGAGAAGATAATGATGTTACTTTGAGCTTTAGCAAAGTGATGCTTGTATCACTAAGTTGCTGTGTTCAGGCCTTCCAACAAATGTGTAAAACTTGGTGTTCAAAAGCTTAAACTGTAAACGTTGTATCACTCAAAGAACCTCTAATAGCCTATAACAACTGCAAAAAAACTGCTTACTTAAAGACATAACTTTTGCTCTTCATTTAAAATGTAAAATTCGGTTTACGTGGTGGAAGAGAGAAATTAAGAGTTTAGCTAGGGTGGATTTACACTAAACAGAGTTTATAACTTGTGTTCTATGTATTAGGTCGTCAAGAAATTAATGTCACTTTTAGCTAGGGTGGATTTACACTAAACAGAGTTTATGTACTATGTATTAGGTCGTCAAGAAATTAATGTCACTTTTAGCTACGGTGGATTTACACTAAACAGAGTTTACGTACTATGTATTAGGTCGTCAAGAAATTAATGTCACTTTTAGCTAGGGTGGATTTACACTAAACAGAGTTTATAACTTGTGTACTATGTATTAGGTCGTCAATAAATTAAAGTCACTTTTTTTAGATGAAAAATCCTGAACAATTTATGTATCAAAACACAGCATTTATTAAATGAAATAGTCTTCATTCTTGTCGATGATGCTTTTCCATCTTACAATCAGGTTGTTAATGCCCTGATTAAAGAAATCACTTGGCTTTGAAAGAAGAAACATGTAGATGTCCTCTTTAGCACCTTCTACATTTTCATACGTTGTCCCATTAAGATGGTGATGCAGCGATTGAAAAATGGTGCCATATCTGGAGAATATGGTGGGCGGAGGAGAACTTCCCGACACAACTCCATAATCTTTTGTTGTGTCAAATATGCCACATGTGGATGTGCATTGACGTGGAGAAGAAGAACACATTTCCGATTGACAAGTGAAGGGCGTTTCTGATGAAGGGCTTGATTTAAATGTTCCAGTTGCTAACTATAGATCTCTGCATTGACAGTTCGCTGTGGATTGAGGAATTCGAAATGAATTACTCCTTGGATGTCCCACCAAATTCAAAGCATCACTTTCTGTGGATGGAATTCGGGTTTTGGGGTCGGAAATGGTTTTTGTCCATGACTGAGCCACTGTTTTTGGCATGTAATATTTGCATAGAGAATCCATTTTTCATCACCGGTGACAATTCTGTCGAAAAATGCTTCATGCACATTAGGCACCAGAATAGATGAAACAACGTTCACATGTTGGAAACAATGATCACCGGAGAGTTTGTGAGGTAACCAATCACATTCTTTATGGAGTTTTCCCATATTCATTAGTTGTTTACTTATTGTTTCATGAGAGACATGCAATTTCAGGGCCATTTCATGAGTGTGTTTCCTTGGGTTAGACTCAACAAGCATCTTCAGAGCATCATTATCAATTTCAACATGTTGGTCCCTGCCATCACAGTTTTTAAGGCTAAAGTCACCTGAACGAAATTGGCTGAACCATCGTTGACATATATTAACGTTCAAAACATTTCCATAAACTTATTTGATATTCTTTGTGGCTACAGAGGCGTTGTTTCTCTTCTTGTATTCAAACAGCATCACATGCTGAATGTGTGTCTTGTTGTGTGCCATTACTGTAAGGGATTAGAGTATACTAAACTTTACACATTATATAGGCTACACTAACGTGACGTTTAGGCAGTTCGTATAAATATTATTCGCAATGTATGTTTTTTGGAGGGATGTTAATGAAAGTGTTCCAAAACGCGACATTAATTTCTTGACAACCTAATACTTTAATTTAAACACTGAAATTTCGCTCATACAAAATACTTTGAAATGTAATGGCTACCTACAACGTATATTACAAAAAAGTTACTAATACTTTTCTAACTAAGAAAGTCACTAATCTACCTAGACTATCAACTGCACCCAAACTTACTATATACTCTTATCTTCCATACATTGGTAAACAAAGCCTAACTTTAAAAAGGCAAATTTAATGATCTGTTCATTGTTACTACCCCCAAGTTGATTTCAGATTAGTTTTTAAACCCACATCCCACATACAAGATTTCTTCTGTACTAAAGACCTTCCAATTATTCTTTGTTCTTGGCTTGTGTGTATATATATTTACCCGTGTAGAGACTGTAAGGCCTCCTACATTGGCAAAACCAAATGCCATCTAGTAGCTAGAGCCAATGAGCATATGCAAATTTCCATGAAAACACAAAACAAGTTGAGTAACCCATGTTTCCTCTATATGCCAACATAGTGAAGAAACAGGACATGAACTTATCAAATTTCAATATCTTTTGCAAAGCCAACACTGAACAACACACAGTCTTTGTTTGAATTGCACATTTTCTAATATGTACAGTATTTTGTTTGTTACTCATTTAATTTTTATGTTGTTTTAGTTTTGATTAAATTACTGTTATTATAGCTATATTTCAGTTACTTAGGAATGATTAATTCTTTTATTTTGCTTTAGATACTGTTGAATTCTGAAACATTTATCTGTGTCAGCTTCTGTTATAAATAGTGTTGTTTATTTTAAGTACTGTTATCCTTTTTATTTTGTAAGGAACAGATATGAAATTATAGATATATGACCATGTATTTTTTTTCCTGGACACACTTTATATAGCACATAGACTTCTACAGTTTAGTGGTAGTGTTTTTTAATATGTATTCCTTGTTGTTTAATTGCAAAACAAATTTAGTAGATTTGAATGAATGCTAGTGCTTTTTATAAATCAGGTGATAAGATCAAGAAACTTTTGGGTCCTGGAAAGTCCTTGAAAATGTCTAGAATTTTATTCTTGGTCAAGTGTATGAATGTTATAATGCACAACCATGTATGTGTAGATATATTTTCATGTTAAGAACCAAATGGTTAGTTTTTGTTTTTTTTGGTGAAACTGAAAGTGCTTATCCATGAAAATTCTAACACCTTCTAATAAACAAGTGAACAAAAGAAAATTAGTTCTAGTGAAATTATTAACAAGAATGTTTTATAATTTTTGTGTTAACTACCAGGAGGCAGAAATTAAACAGATGATCAAAAAGATTTTGGATGGTGCCAACTTAGAAGAAATCACAATGAAGAAAGTTATAAAGCAGGTAAACACCACTTCAGTAAACGACATTAATAACACTTTTTTTTTTTACTTTTTCATATGGGCTCAGTCATTTTGCCAACCTAATAACTACCAGGTAACCATGAAGGTATCCATACTATAACTTTTAATGTGCTGTGTATGTCTTCACAAAATTTGGTGAGCTTTTAGTAGTTATTACAAGTCTTGTACAAAAAAAAATTAAATTCTTCAATTATTTTTATTAAAGATTTGGCCATAATTATATATGAAGTCAGAGTGTTGAGTAGTTCAAATGCAAGTTGGTTTTCATGTTAAGATTAAAAATATTTTTATTCACTTTACAGTTTTTAAATTTCATTTACTTAAATCTCTAAAACCTTCTGAATGAATATCAAACATGTTTGTTTTTTTTCAGTAAAATTTTATGTTATTCTTCCTACCCTAACTCTATACAGACCTTGAATAGTTTAAGACTTGTAACAGTACATCTGTTTCTTCTTAATTTTTTATTGCCCTTTCAGTTGTGTCTAACAATCCTGTAATACAAACTATAAATCACTTAGTGAACATGTGACTTAAGTTATCATATTGAATGGTGTAATGAGTAAAAATAACCGTGGGATTATTTTTTTTATCATCCTATTTAATTTTCTAATTTTTACATTTTAGTTACTTTTATAACAATCAATAAATATATATATATATTAAATTTGGCCTCTTGTTTTTTTCCTGTCAGCCAGATGATGAAACCTAAGCCCACTTTTTTGTAGTAATTTTATTAGTGCATTAAATTTTTTATCTATTTCAGGTATGCACTTAAGAAGACAACATAATAACACCTATAAAACAAACAATGTCCTGTAACTATTATAATTTAACTGACTTTCTAACTAAGACATAAGTGCATTAAAATAATTCCCTTAGCTACTCAATCTGAACTTGGTGATAGCAACTTTCAAGTCAAAGTGAACAAATATACAAAGGGAGCTTGAGAATTTATTTAAATATTTCATTTTAAAGTTAACTTAAAACTTGATTTATTAAATATGTTTTGATGCAGAATTTATACATATACATTGATAATAACCCTATGGTAATGGTGTCCCCAAATTGCCAAGACCTCTATCATTATATTTTATTCCAAAAATAAAACTAGTGAATGAATTTATTTGAAATTTGACCAAAATATTCCTAAAAGTATGTAATTTGACAAAAATAAAATATTTAATTTGGATTTTTTCTACTATTTATAATAAAAAGTTTGTTATTTAACCCTTTCACGATGGGCTCAGTATAATATACACGAGTTAAGTATTTATACTATACAACCTTTAATGCACCAAGTGTATCTTCACAAAATTTGGTACACTTTTGGTAAAGATTACAAGTCTTTCTTTCACAAAAAATCAGATTTTTAATGAAGTGTTTTTATTATAGATTTGTTTGTGAAAATATCAAGTCTGTTTCATTACCAGTTCAAGTGCAAAGTGAATTTCATTTTATAACTAAAAAACTATTGTTCATCCCAAATATCTTGTATATTATTTTTGTAACCTCTAAAACCTCCTAAATACATTTCAAACGTTTGTTATTTACTGTTATTTTCTTTACCCTAATTATATGAGGTCTGTCAATTTGACCATCCTCGTAACCACCATAAAAAAATTAGGAAATGAATTTGAGTTATGTTTTTTTCATCCTAGAATGACTACAGATTATAACATGAAAACACAAATGTTTAGTCTAAATTGCTTAAATCTCATAACATTTTACATTTATATATTTTTATTATATTGACCTTCCAGTCATGCCTGACTAATAATATGGAAGTTACAGTGACGCACATCCACTTGTGATACCTTATCCAATAATATAAGACTGACATTTAGTCTTTACAAAATGATCTGTCTTGCCCATGTTTTAGTGGACTTATTTTGTAAAATACAGTCACATTTCAATTATTATACATATGTATATACATTAACATTATTTACAAATAAGTTCTTAAACTTGTTTTTCTTAAAACATGAACAGTAAATAAAGAAGTAAAGCAAACAATTATATCTTCTAGTCACGACCTTCGTACTCGTTCGCTGCTTGAAGCAGGTTGTAAACCTTATGTAGTTTCCCACGTGGAGGATATGAAAAGAAAATTTTTTTTGTTTTATATATACATTTTAATTAACCAAAAAAAATCATAAATTACTACATTGATACCATAGAATTCCACTATAATTTATCAAATATAGTAACTAAACTGTATTTGGGTCTACAGAAATATGAAATTTTGAGCTCACTAAAGACTCACTAATCATTTACAATCTTGTGTGAAAAGAACAAGATTAACACAATAATAGCACATCAAAATAGCTGAGAAAACCACTAGGGGGACATTCTGAGCTTCTGATTGGTTATTCATATCATATATAGAAGTAAGTGTATATAAGGGAGCATTTCCAAAAATGGAAAGATGTGGGTTGGGGCCACTGCATTAAACATAATACGTGACACACACAAAAATCGATGTTTATATCTGTTTTTTAATATTTACTTTTGAATTAAGGAATTGAGTAATGTTTAGTACAAAAATTTGAATAATAATCTACATAAATTCATGAAATAGTAGTTCAATAAAAATTTGAATGCGAGTCAACAAACAAGATGATATGGCCTTTCACTTGTGACCCGTCGTGATAGGGTTAATGTTGTTATTTGCACTTGGACTATGAATAGTTAACATGCAAGGTGAGTTTCATTTTGAGTATAAAAATACTATTTATTAGCTTACAGTTTTCACATTTCATTTGCATAATCTCTAGAACCTCATAAATGAATATCAAACGTTTTTTTAAGATAAATGTTTATATTTTATTTTCTATACTATATCACTAACACTTGTGTAAACAAATGTTTAAAATTAAGAAATCGAAATATGTACATACCTTTTAGCTGTTTTTATAAGTCCTTTGAAACTTCTTTTATTAATATACATAAATTCATGTCTTTTCACTTAGTTTATTTTTAATTTTTCTTTCCAATTCTTTGTATTTTATTATTTATGCTAATACATCAACTGGTCCCCATGGGGCTTTATTATTATATGGTGACTCTCATGCAGATTCTTTCACTAACGCTTGCATGTGTGAATGATGCCATCTTATTTATACTCTTTCACAATGCAAACTGCAACAAGTTAAATGTAAAAAAGTCATTAAACCTTTCAAATATGCATTTTAAAACACAAATAATACCTACAGTAGAATCTCAATTAACAAGCAACATGCTGTTAAGGCCAGATCTTTTCCGTCTCTTTCTTTTTCTACTATTTGTAACCAAAATAAATCTTGCAATAACGGGCACCTCTATATTCCAGATTAAGGGCAGTGTCTTTAGCCTTGTTCTTTTTACAGGAACTTGATAAAGCAGGCAGTTATCTTTGTATGCCTGTATGGTATACTGCTAAATTCCAAACATCATAGAAGGATGACCAATATTCAAACACTTGCAATGTTTATTGGATTGGCTCTTAACCATATACTGTAATAAATGTCTTCACATGTGAGAAGAAGAAGAAAGGCATGAGAACAACATTGCTTTACAAACCTGAAGTCTTAATTTAAAAAATTTATATTTTGCATATGAAAGCATTGTAATGCTTACTGATAATCTGCCAAATTTTGTTAACATTCACTTATTATTTTAAAAGTTATAGCATGAAAACTATAACAAGAACAAAATGATTAAGAGATCAGTCCCAGGGGCTGAGCCTGTGTTGAAAGAGTTAACTAACCTAAAGAGATCATATTTTTACATTTTACTTGCATTTTGGACAATAAACTTGAAAACCAAGAAATAAAATACTTACCCGAGTTTTCTTTTTTCACTGTCAATGACACTTAACCCTACTTTTTCTTATACTGATGATAGTAATACACTAAATAATTTTTGTTTAATTAAGTAATGAACCAAAGAACACAGAATAACAACATGCAAAAAGCATGTCATTTGATAGATGAAAACCTTGGCTTTCTATTAATTATACATAATATAGAATGAAACGTAAGTGAGAACTATCAACAAATCCTGAAAGATGTGACAGGTGGGTGTAGCAAGAAGGGTCTGATTTTCTACTTGGTAGCTCTGTAACCAAACAAAATTGAAGACTATATAAATTATGGTTTGTCTGAGCAATGACGATTTTTATAGTGAGTAATTTACATTAAATTTCAGGCCTACTAGAGGGGTGGTGAATAAAATAGAGACGATGGTATGCCTACAGAAAATATCACCTTTGTCACATTAAGGGAAATTCAGAATTTTTAAAAATATTTCCTTATAAAATTAAGACCTTAAAACTTGTATGCTATTAAAATATGGATTATTACTAATTGTTATAACATAAACAAAAGTATTGTAGTAAAATTTTGAATGTAAGCAACTAAAACCTAATGACATGCGCGGTAACTGACGGCTGAGTAGATATGGTTAAATAAATGTCAACCCTGAAGTATAATTTCAAAGATTATTGTTGTATCCTGTCTTACATATTATAAAACAGGTTTATATAAATGTTGACCCTGATGTGTAATTTCAAAGCTTATTGTTGTATCCTGTCTTACATATTATACAACAGGTTTATATAAATGTCGACCCTGATGTGTAATTTCAGAGTTGATTGTTTTATTCTGTCTTCTTTATTATAAAACAGATTTAAATATATCTTCATCCTGAAGTATAATTTCAAAGATTATTGTTGTATCCTGTCTTACATATTATAAAACTTTTTAAAATAAATCTTGACTCTGGTGTAAAATTTCAAAGCTGGTTGTTGTGTCTTTTCTTCTAGGTGTCGGATGAATATCCAGAGTTTGACCTCAGTGAGAAAAAAGACTTTATTAAATCTACTGTCAGATCGGTATGTATTGAAACAGTGTCAATTTTTTAATAAAACACCGGGAAACTGTTAAATATAGATAAAGTTCCATTTTTTACAGTGCCTGACAATAAAATACGAGACCAGTGGTTTTTAACTACAGGTACTTCCTTACTGTATAATTGTATGAACATAATTTGTTACTTACTGTTGCTCATTTTATTATTATTACTAGTAGAAATGCTGCCCTATGGGCAACTGTTTTTACTACTAATTACTAATTGTGGTATTGACACCTCTTTGAAAAAAAAATTGAGAAAAAGTGAAAATTTCTAAAAACCGAATTTTCTGGGAAGTACTGCATGGGAAAAGGGTATGGATTGTGCTGATATAAACTGTAATGTTTTTATATATTAAAAGTGGTACAGTTTTTCAAAATTACGTTAATAAAGATAAAATGAAACCCTCACATACAGTTCTAGTGAAAGTTGTATTCTTGTTGTGAGGAGAGTACTTTCATTTAAAATTGTGTTCTGTGATAAAGAAATGGTTGTTGCACGTACCACAGTTATTTTTCAAATTGTCTGAATCTTGAATACCCAAAGCGGGTTTTTATTATGGATTTTTGTTTGTGGTACCATTCAATAGATGGTATTTATTATTTCAGTCACATACACAGATAGATACATATATACATGCAATATCTATTATAGTAAGATTAGTAAGCTATTGTTTGAAAGTTTCTGTTATGGATACTATTTTCTAGTACTGTTCAGAACATTGACTGCTGTAATGAATATTTTACATATGGCTATTGAGAGTATTGTAATTTAGATTATAAATCAGTAAGTACCACATTTTGATTGATCAAATGTCAGAATATCAGTCCAACAACAAAGGGATTTAAGTTTAACTCTCTACACAGGCATGGTCAATTTGATTGACCACGTGACCTCTTTGTACTTGTTTAAAGTCTATAGATTTAATACTTCTAACTTTCAATATAGTGTGTATATCTTCACAAAATTTGACAGTCTTTCACATACAAAAAAATCATACGTTTAGTGAAGTATTTTTAATAAACTAAAAAAAGACTTGTTCATGAATATATTGAGTATTTATTTTGAATAGGATGTATGCAAAGTGATTTCATGTTAAGATTAAAAATACTTCATCTCAAATTTGCTTTGTGTAATCTCTAAAACCTCCTACATACATTTCAAACGTTTTTTTTTTATTTTTATTTTCAGTAAAACTTTATATTTTATCTGTTATTTTCTCTATCCTATCTCTGTATGGGTTTGGTCAATTTCACCGACCTCATAACCACAAAAAAAAAAAAATCAAAATAAATCTAAATTAACCTTTTTTCTTTCTAGAATGACATCAAATTGTAACATGAAACTACATCTGTTTATCCTAAGCAGCTTTAAGCTCGTAACAGTATACATCTATTTATAATTAAATGTTTTTGTTTTATTGCCCTTTGAACCGTGTGTAAATACTATTTGCACCATTATAAGTTGTAAATCACTTGGGGTAATGTGCAGTTCACGTTACACTGTCGATTTACATTACCCACAAGCTGCTCGTGTGACCCGTGAAACATTTTTATTCAATTATTATTATTTTTATTTTACCTAATTTAGTCTTAACTAACCATCCTGTAAAGTTACAAGATGTATGGTTGTGTGCATAAAAACCAAGGGCCATGGTCACGGGT